ATCTTATGTCTTTGACGGTTTTAGGTGTAGGCAATTTGGAGATCAGTTCAATTTTTGATTTGTCGACCTCTATTCCTTTAGAAGAAATTACATGTCCTAAGACAATTCCTGAAGGTACCATAAAATGACATTTCTCCCAATTCAAAACTAATCCTTTTTCCACACACCGGGTCAAGACTCTCTTCAAGTTAAATAGGCATGCATCAAACGAGACTCCAAACACTGTCAAGTCATCCATGAAAACTTCCATGCACTCCTCTATCATGTCAGTAAATATGCTTATCATGCATCTTTGAAATGTGGCAGGGGCGTTACAAAGTCCAAATGGCATCCTACGAAATGCATAAGAACCAAATGGGCAAGTAAATGTGGTCTTCTCTTGGTCTTCTAAGGCTATTTCAATTTGATAATAACCAGAGTAGCCATCCAGAAAACAGTAAAAAGGATGGCCAGCCACACGCTCCAGGATTTGGTCTAAAAATGGGAGGGGAAAGTGGTCCTTATGGGTGGCAGCATTCAACTTCCTATAATCAATGCACATGCGCCATCCAGTCACTGTTTTTGTTGGGACCATTTCACCTACTTCATTTTTTACCACTGTGACACCAGACTTTTTAGGGACTACCTGTGTAGGACTAAGCCATTTACTATCTGCAATATGATAAATGATACTTGCATCTAACAGTTTCAGCACTTCATTTTTCACAACTTCTTTCATTGTCGGGTTTAGCCTACGCTGTGGGTCTCTTTTAGGGGTGGCTCCTTCTTCTAAATGAATCCTATGTGAGCAAATTAGAGGACTAATACCCTTAATATCAGCTATGGTCCAACCTAATGCAGATTTGTGTTCATTCAAAATGTTTAAAAGTTGCTCACATTGTAATGCATCCAATTCTGAAGAAATAATTACAGGAAAAGTATCACCTAGTCCAAGGAATTCATGTTTCAATCTTGGGGGTAGCGGTTTCAAATCTGGTTTGGGGCTCTCAATGCTTGATGGTTGCTGGCCGTCCGTCCTTTCTGACAATTCTTCAAATTTGGGTTGCCATGGTGATATCCCATAGTCCTGAAATTTTGCAAAAATAGCACAAAGGTTAGCATATTCTTCATCATTAACACTTGCTGATTTGCAGAATTCAAGAAAAAAAGATTTAAGGGGTCAGAATTTGTAGTCTCAAGTGCCTCCTCCTGAGTGAGTGCCTCAATCATATGTGTGTGGTGGCACTCATCACTTTCCATTGGTTGCTTAGCAATGTGAAAAATGTTGACTTCTAGAGTCATATTCCCAAAAGACAATTTCATTAGACCATTCCTGCAATTTATAAGGGCGTTAGCTATGGCGAGGAAAGGTCTACCAAGAATAATAGGAATTTTAGAATCAACATTAACATCAACCTTCACATCCAAGACTAAGAAATCAACGGGGTAGTAGAATTTATCAATTTGAACCAACACATCTTCAACTACTCCCCTAGGTCTTATAGTGGATCTATCAGCTAGTTGTAGAACCACAGAAGTGGGTTTAATTTCACCAAGACCTAATAGTAAGTATATGGAATGGGGCATGAGATTAACACTGGCTCCCAGATCAAGGAGAGCTTGTGCAAACTCATGGTTCCCGATGACACAGAAAACAGTTGGACAGGCAGGGTCCTTATATTTCGGTGGGATCCTTTGTTCAATCACAACACTCACTTGTTCGGTCAAGAAGGCAGTCTTCTGGACAATGTGTTTCCTCTTCACAGTGCACAAGTCCTTAAGGACTTTCGCATATGTAGGAACTTGTGAAATTACATGCAAGAGTGGAAGATTGATTTTTACTTGCCTAAGGTGTTCGAGGATCTCATTGTGATGATTGACTGATTTTGGGCTAAGCTTAAGGGCTTGTGGAAAAGGTACCCTCGATGGATTTCCTACTGCCTCATCACTAGGGCTACTTTCTTCAGACTCACTAGACTCCTTTTCGTTCTCCCTAGGTTTTGAAATTGGTTCTATAACCTTCCCAGATCGGGTGGTGATGGCATTTGCTTCTTTAAGGTTACTCTCTCCTGAATCTGAGGTTTGAGCCATATGCTGTCCCTTAGGATTAGGTTGAGCTTGTGCTGGAAATTTCCCACGTTCCCCCACAGTTAAGGCATTGGTCAATTTAGACACATGATTTTTTATCTCCTTATTTTCCTCCACTACCTGGTTAATCATAGTCTCAAACTTCTGATTGGTCTTACCTTGTGCCTCTATGAATGCATGTAAGGTATCTTCTAAAGAGTTCCTAGAGGATGTGGGTTGATATGATGGTGCACTGTAAGTTCTATTTGATTGGGTAGTTTGTTGGTTTTCAGATTTCCAACTGAGATTAGGATGATTGCGCCACCCTGGGTTATAGGATTCGGAGAAAGGAGAATAGGGCTTCCTATATGTGCCTAAGGCATTACAATATTCCTCATAAACCCCTCTCATCTCAATTAAAGTGGTGCACTCTTGGGCTAGGTGATCTACTCCACCGCACACAAAACAAGGTCCCAAAGATTCAACACGCGAAACAGTTTGTGCAGGTTTAGAGCCTTTAGCATGCAAGGTCTCAAATTCCTTAGTAAGGGCTTCCACTTTGGCCTTAAGACTATCTTCTTCCCTAAGTTGATAGATACCTGTACTAGTGGGGTTTCCTGGGGGTCGTGACCTATTGGTACTATCAGTAGGGCTAGGTCCAGTCCAAGTATGAGCTTTCTCAGCAAGATCGTCTAGATACTCTATGGCCTCATCCGGATCCTTTTGCAGGAAATCACCGTTACACATCATCTCTACGAATTGACGTTCCCTAGGTGTTAATCCCTCATAAAAATAACTAACTATACGCCAACTCTCATAACCATGGTGAGGACAAAGGGCTTGTAGTTCTTTAAATCTCTCCAAGGCCTGATATAGGGTCTCACTATCCTTTTGGGTAAAAGATGAGATTTGCTTCTTAAGGGCGCTAGTCTTATGGTGGGAAAAGTATTTATTAAAAAATGCTTGCGTCATTTTAGCCCATGTACCAATTGAACGTGGTCTCAACGAATATAGCCAGGTTTTTGCTCTCTCTTTAAGTGAAAACGGGAAAAATTTTAACCTGGCTGCATCCGTTGTACCATGTTGATTGTGGAAGGTTGCAACTACCTCCTCAAATTCCCTAATATGCACGTAAGGGTTTTCACTGTCAAGTCCATGAAAAGTGGGAAGAAGTTGAATCATTCCTGGTTTTAGTTCCATCCGTGGCATATTGGGCGGAAACATTATGCATGATGGTGTGGATGTACGTGTGGGGTGCAAATAATCATGCAAAGTCCTATAAGGCGCATAGCCGTGTTCACTATCAGACATAGTGTTATGTGTTGAGGTGTTCGTGGCAATTGATGTAGTAGCAAAATAAGGGTTATATTAAGATTCAAACACTGGATAAGGTGCTCCAGTAGAACTCCCCTGATTGCCTCGATCCCTGCTCATCAAACACACAAGGTGTGGGGTGCAAATAATCATGCAAAGTCCTATAAGGCGCATAGCCGTGTTCACTATCAGACATAGTGTTATGTGTTGAGGTGTTCGTGGCAATTGATGTAGTAGCAAAATAAGGGTTATATTAAGATTCAAACACTGGATAAGGTGCTCCAGTAGAACTCCCCTGATTGCCTCGATCCCTGCTCATCAAACACACAAGGAAAAAAAAACAAAGAAAATGTGAAAATAAAATAAAAATAACTCTAAAAAAAATTAAATCAAATAAAAATGAAGGAAAGGGAACGATGTCACCCTTTTTCAGTCGATCCCTTGATTACTTGTACCGTCTCCCCGGCAACGGCGCCAAAATTTGATTACGCCCAAAGAATAACGCGGTTATTGTAGTACAGTTTTGGGGTGTCGTATCCACAGGGAGATGGAAAATTTCTCAAAAGATCAAACAAACTAGGGTTTTCGTAATTACATGTGGGAATGATTTGTCACTTGGAATAAAAATTAATTATCAATATGCGAATTAGTGAAGCGTCGAAGTTCCCCCATTGGATTGGATCAATCAACATCAATAATTCTTGTATTTTCACTCAATTAGAGGTTTTCTTCCCAACTCTCTAATTGGAAGATTTAACAGTGAAGTCCAATTTTATTCTAATTATATTTCTAGAATCTAGATTTTCTATAACACATTCGCACATTTTTATTGGAACAAGATCAAAAATCGACCACATACGTTAGGCATAAGGCAGTAATCAATCCGCCAATAAAGTGATATTAAGATTAAAATTCAACAATTATTTCAATCATTCGATAGAAGGAACATTGCTAGATCTATGAAGGATTTGATAAAAGTTAAAATAATCTCAACAATAAGTAATTTAAATTGAAACTCAACAAATAGTTTAATTTAACAATGGAAAAAGCATGACTGAATCCATGAGAAATTTATTAAAAGTTAAACAAATTTCAATACTAAT